CTACACCTTTGCCCCAGGTTTTCCCTCGCCCGGGTCCCCCTTGGGTTGTCCCGGCTCCCCAAAGTTACCTCAGGCTTTCCCGCCCACAGCCTTCCCTCAGCCTTCCTCCCCCCGGCCAGCCCTAGTTCTCCCTCAGACTTGTTCCAGGTCTCCCCCTTTCCTTCATCCTTTTCCAGCTTTTCTCCTCCTTACTCTCCCCTTCTCCCCCAGCCATTCTGCAGCCGCCCTGCCTCTCCCTCATGCCAAATTGCTGGGGGGTCCTTTCCCTCGGTGCCCCCAGCAGGCAGTGAGTGCTCCACCCCACCGAGGGGTGCAGGCCCCGGGGTCAGGCTCACCCCCGCCATCCCACAGGCCTATCCAGGCCCCGATGCCCCCCCAGCCCCACCAAGTGGGTACGTGTGGGGTTGAGCTCAGCCTTGAAAAATGGCCTCGGAGGCGGTGAAGGTGATCGTGCGCTGCCGGCCCATGAACGAGCGTGAAAAGGCCCTGGGCTGCAAGGCGGTTGTCAGCATGGAGAGCGCGCGGGGCCAGTGCTTCCTCCAAAACCCTGCTGCCACTGGCGAGCCCCCAAAGCAGTTCACCTTTGATGGGGCGTACTACCAGGAGCACAACACGGAACAGATCTACAACGAGATCGCCTACCCGCTTGTGGAGGTGAGTGGTGCCTGACGCAAGGCAGAGACAGCTGGCACGTAGCCTGGGACATGGGCTGATGAGTTTTACCTGGGTAGGTGATCCCTAAATAGAACCGATTTATGGAGAGAAACGTCCCTGTCCACTGTTCCAAGTGGCTTAGCTGCAACCCTGGGGTGCAGAGGAGGGCAAAACAGCGTCCCGGCGGTAGGCTGGGAAATCGTGAAGAAACAAAACTTTTTCAGCAGCCAGGGGGGCACTGAGGATAGAATTACATTTAATTGTTTTAGGTGCTGTTCAGATGAAAGATGAACCCCCCCTGAGCAGGCCCTAGAGATGGCAGCTGGACAGAAACCGCAGTGGAAAGTGGTGTGAAGAGAAGGGGGGACAAACAGGATTCCTAATGATTTTAGGGATGTTTTTACTGTCAAGTGAGAAATCTTAGCGAAGACAGGGAACCTCAGCATGTTTTAGACTAGCAAAATGAGAGTGGATACGTTTGTTTCCTTGTTAACACATCATGGTAAACAGCTAGGGTGGGAAAGGAACCGGTTAAGCTAAAAAAAACCCAACTCCCTCTAAACCCCCCAATTTTGTTAGAAAAAGAAACAGGCATCAAGTGGCTAGTGGTATTTTTAAGATGAAATATCCTCATCGTGAGAACAAGGAGGGTCTGAAACTGTAAATTATTAGATTAATAAGTTATTTTTAAAAATTTTATTTAAACTTTAGGAAATCCAAATATCTTCTGTTCCTACCATGCTTCTCTGAAACAGGAACAAGTGAAAGTGAGGCCAGCTTTCAGCCAGCTCTCCAAGAGGAAATTATTCTAATCTAGAAACCGTCCTATGAGCATCCTAGTTGTCTCTCTGGGCTTCGCCAGATTTTTCTGCCCTATGGCAAAAATATTCTGGTCTTGTAAATGTTGCCAACTGCCCTTACACTTTTCAACACCTGCATTTCTTCAAGTTTTCCATTTTTGAGAGAAACCAATCAATTTCTATACTAGCAGAATGCATTTTTTAGTCATTGTCATGATCTGATGGCATACAAAGATCAAGCAGTTGTTTGATGTTTACTTATAGCTCTTCCTTTAAAATACCTTTTACGAGGTGGGATTGAATCTGGACAACACACTTGCAGTTATGCAAAGGGTGAGAATAATGGCTATTTTATTTCCTTTCCTTCCATTTCCAGGGTGTCACTGAAGGCTACAATGGCACCATATTTGCCTACGGCCAGACTGGCAGCGGGAAGTCATTCACCATGCAGGGAATCGTGGATCCATCTACGCAGAAAGGCATCATACCCAGGGCATTTGAACACATATTTGAGAGCGTACAGGTAGGTGTGTAAGGTTGTGAAAGAGAACCTGTTGTAAGATGGTGTGATATCAAGAAAGGTGATTTTTGTGTCATATCCCAAGGACTGAGTGCCGATCGCACTTGGGAGCAAGAACGGGGACAGGCTTTCGGGTATGCTGCCTCTCATCCTAAAGCTGAGGCCTGTGCACAGTCAGGTGAACCATACCCTCATCTCTGCTGACTTTATTGACTTGTACTTGAGATGTTTAAGGACTGAAAGTCCCTATAGCGAGCGCGTTGAGTAGTTACACCCGGGGAATGCCAGGAGAGACTTGATGAAGTGCTGACGGGAGGTAGGCACCCAGCTGGCACTGACAATCTATGTGGGCTGCCTACTTGCCATCGTTTTGAGAACCTTACCCAAAAATCGTGTTTTGTGCAGTGTGCTGAAAATGCCAAGTTCTTAGTGAGAGCTTCCTACCTGGAGATTTACAACGAAGACATACGAGACCTTCTAGGAGCTGATACCAAGCAGAAGTTGGAGGTGAGGTGGAGTCAATGTGTCTTAATTAGAAAGTGCTTTAATTTGCTCAGATAAGTGTTATCATGAATGCTTCACTGGAGTGCAATGCCATGCTCTTGTTCGAAGCCGAACACCAGACTATGAAGATATAGCGATGCATATGGAAGCCAAGAGGAGATTTTGAGGGACTTTAGTGAAAGTTTAGCGGCAGAAGGAACAGGATCCGATCCCACATGTCCTGCTTGATAGCAGCCGGTAGCTTAGCAGAAGCTGTGTGAAAATCATTACTGGACCAGGATGGAATAAACTGCTCATGGGGCAATTTATTCTTAATCCTCTTCATCTCATGGCTGTCTCTAAAGCAGGAGGATTCTGTGCCTTATCAATGTTTAATCTGATCCAGTGTAGCTGTGGATGATCTCATTATCTATCTAAACCAAAAAAGGCTGATCCTTTTTTGAGGGGACAGAGCAGACATTACTCCCCATGGGAACGCATGGGAAAGGCAGGTGGTTTCCAGGAACGCAGGAGGGTAAACTTCCCTGAAATTCTAATCAGGGGGCTGATTTTTATAAAATATACCCTTGGTGGCTTTGCAGATCTTTTTCCGTGTATTCCTGGGGGAAAGCTGCAAATCTCCTGTCCTAATTTATGTCCCTGCAGGACTGCCCTCGGGAAGAAAGCCGAGGCGCTAGCTCCATCTGCTGCATGGACACGCCAGGATGGTGACAGACCCAAACTGCCTTATGGGGCAGATTTTTTTTTTTAACAGGCTCATGGCTTTCAGGGAGGCAAAACCCTCCTCACTCCGCGTTCCAAGTGTGTTTGGCGTGTGCCTGTGGAGAGTGAGGGGTGGGAGAAGGGGACTCTCTGAGCAGTTTCCCATCCTTTGTTCCACATCAGCAGCAACACCGGTTTCCATGACGACTGCAGTTGGCACTGGGAGGGCAGGAGTTGGGCAGAACAGTTTCCAGGGTAACACCATCACACCAGTGACAGCCACTGCCTGTTGCTGCCTCCACCGAATAATTAAAGGAGGCATGTCCTGCCGAGACTGAAACCCCGGGTGGACCCAGTGCTTTCTTGTGTGTCACCCTCTTCTGCCCCAAAATCCCATTTCTATTTGTTCCATTGCTTTTCAACATGGGTTACTTTGGTGACTCTGAAGCCCACAATCACCTCCTATGGCATGAAACCCTGTGAAAAGCAGCTTTTACTGTGCTCTGCAAGTAAAATGCCCCCATTGGACTGTTGTGGAGTTAAACGACAGCCATGTCCTCGGTCAGGTCGTTCCTCGGGGGCTTTGCAGCACCCTCAAATACAGGCAGGCCTGCCACTGCCTTCCTGTAGCACAGGCAAAAGTCACAGTGTCTGAACAGTCCAGCTGTGATTCTGTAACTCAATTTATCCTGGGCAGTCATGGCTTTAGAACAAGGCTAAAATCCTGCCTGGTTTAGCTTTCAGCCAGTTCTGCTCTGTTCTGTGCAGATTTTTATAAAAGCAAACACTATTTTACATTGTTCCTTGTGGCGCGTGCATCACTAAAGTATCTCAAGGACCGTCTCTGGGAGTCACACTGCCAAACTGTGACACCGAGTCATGACAGCCATATCTTGATATCCCAGTTGACACGATAAAGATAGCGTTTTTGTTATGAACTCAGCAGATGTGGGGTGGAACATCGCTG